CCTGTCGGCGGTTTCCCGCTCCAGAGTCTCTGGAAAAGTCCGTTTGGACCGTGTCCTTTTGGTCCTGAATATCTGGACCCGTGTCCTCTCTGCTGCTCGGTTCCGATCGTCTCAGTGTCTTTTATGTAAAGTATCTGTTGTTGTCACAAACATGCAGGCGCCACCTTCAGGCCTTCAGACACGTCGCCAGACTCATTCAGTGACGACGACATGAACGATCATCATTCAACGTCCACAGTCAGAGGGACGCTGATTTATTTTCTTTTCTTCTTTTTTTCTTTCAAACTGTACAAACTGTCGATCACAGACATTCAAGGGCCGAACAGAGAGAAAGAGGGAGAGAGGGTGAGGGAGGGGAGGAGGGGAGGGAGTGAGCAGAATCAAATTCAGCTGGATTTGGATTGAACTGAAATAGATTGACAACAAACTCTGTTTTTACAGGTTGATTTGACTGAAGGACTGGTGTTTAACCAACAGTACTGGTGTCTAACCATCAGTACTAGTGTCTAACCAACAGGACTAGTGTCTAACCAACAGTACTAGTGTATAACCATCAGTACTAGTGTATAGCCAACAGTACTAGTGGTGTCTAACCAACAGTACTGGTGTCTCACCAACAGTACTAGTGTCTAACCAACAGTACTAGTGGTGTATAACCAACAGCACTAGTGTCTAACCAACAGTACTAGTGTATAACCATCAGTACTAGTGTATAGCCAACAGTACTAGTGGTGTCTAACCAACAGTACTAGTGGTGTCTAACCAACAGTACTAGTGGTGTATAACCAACAGCACTAGTGTCTAACCAACAGTACTAGTGTTTAACCAGTACTGTTAATGTTTTTTAAATGATTGGTTTTCACCTTTATCAACCATCAGTACTAGTGTATAACCAACAGTACTAGTGTCTAACCAACAGTACTGGTGTCTCACCAACAGTACTAGTGTATAACCATCAGTACTAGTGTATAACCATCAGTACTAGTGTATAACCATCAGTACTAGTGTATAACCATCAGTACTAGTGTATAACCATCAGTACTAGTGTATAACCATCAGTACTAGTGTATAACCAACAGTACTAGTGTTTAACCAGTACTGTTAATGTTTTTTAAATGATTGGTTTTCACCTTTATCTGTGAACACATGTGTTGTAAGAGACCTGGGTTTGGGGGGGGGGGGGCGGGGGCAACAGGGCACTCCAACCGACAGAAGCCCAGCCAACGACCACCTCGGGCCTAATTAGTGAGTTTTTAATCACAGCATCGCTGCCGTCTGCTGGACAGAACAGTCGTAACGTTTAAGAGCTGTGGACCGAAGCCAAGTGACGGAGTCGAAGGATTCGGAGGATTTTCCTACCTACAGGAGGGGGGCGCTGCAGATATGGTTAGCCAATTGTTGACTTAAGAGTTCTGGTTCAAGTGTGTTCTAACATTTTCTCCACCACAGCGCCACCTGCTGGAGTTTCTAATAGATACTATCCCTAAATCGGTTGATATCAAAATTTAGTTTTTAGACAATATCGGCATATTTGATATCAAAGTTTAGTTTTTAGACAATATCGGATTACGGCAAATAGTTAATATCGGACATCCCTAAAAAGACCCAATAAGGAGCTTCCGATTTCAAGAGGATACCATGACACGGAAACATAAGTATGTTCTCAGCCTAGAGGTGGCGATGTGGAGCTGATCAGTCATTACTTCAGTCTCGGTTCGCCGTGATATCCCGACACTTTTCTGCAGCATTAACGTGACAGTGATGCACTGCTGTGACAGACTGCTTCAGTCCTTTCACTCCAATTATTTAACCTATTTGTCAAAGCTGCGAGTTGTTGCCGGAGGCGAGAACGATGTACGGTCTCCAAAGACGCTGCGGGAAAATGATTCCCAGCCAATAATGTTACATTTCCACTGCTGCGTTATTGAAAAAGCAGCTTCACTGAAATCACACGTATTCCACCCAGTGCTATGATGTCCGCTCCTGTTTTTATGTTGCACAAAACAAGCTGAGTTTTATTTCTGTAAATCTGTGTAAATATCGTAAAGACTGAACGCAGGTTTGAAGTGTTTCCTATTCCTTTGATCCCTGAAACGTACGTTTTCTTTTTTGTTTGTTTGTTTTTGCTTTTTTTTCAGCCTTCGGTGACAGCGTGTCACCGGAGAAAGTTTTTCTTAATTCTTGCATTTTTGTGAATTAGCTAAAGAGGCCACTAATTGCTAATTCTGTCACTTTAATTAATACTAAAAACTACAGCAGCTTCGTTAAACCACCCAAGCACATCCTGGCCGAAGCTTTTCATGTTTTTTTCTTTAAATAGCCGGGAGCTGCCGGGGATTTTCTCCCTTCTCTTTTCAAAGCAGGACCTCTAACCTCGGACTTTTGTGAGCTGGCTTTATTTTTTTTAATGTTAATGTAAGTTACAGTTGGCAGATGCTGTTGATGGTATTCTCCAGTCTGTGTTTGCAGCCGCTGGTATTTCTGTCCCATTAGTGCAGTTTGGAGATGCTGCTGGTCGTGCCGCAGTTTTATTCTGTGGAATAGTTCCTTCGGATCAGATCGTTTGCACGGTTTTTTGTAGTGGAAGCTGGGACTTTAACATCTTTATAACGATCAATTTACTTGCTTACTTTCTTCGTTTTTCTTCAATTTAATTTGCCGACATCGACCTCAAGCGTAAAATCACCTCAATGTAAAACTTGTTGCTGTGAATATAGACACCAGAGCTAATGTTAGCTACAACGGTACTGGTACAGACACCAGAGCTAATGTTAGCTACAAAAACCTCTGTACAGACACCAGAGCTAACGTTAGCTACAACAGGCTACTACAACACTTTCTAATTTACAAGGCAGATGAAACACCGGGTATAAATTAAATCAAGAAACGTTGTCATCGCTGCTTTGAGTTCCTGCCTCTCATTAGCACCAAGGCTGAGGCCAGACCACGTCGAGCACTAAAGACTCAGCAATCACCCAAATCCCCTGAACCTCTTCGTCTAATTAGCGTTTCTGTCATTAATTCTTAGTCCGCTGTCGTAGCCTTTGAGGATTTCGTTTCGAGTTTCTTCACAGCCGATAGAACGGCTTTAAAGTCAGAGAGAATTTGATTTGATTTTTTTTTTTTTTTTTGGAGAGAAAATCAACAAGTTTAAGCCCCTGGTGTAAAACACACAGTTAGACAAGGCTGATTCTCTCCTCATCCAGGCAGAACAGTGTTTGTTTCCTCAGGTTTACTCGTCTGAGTGTCTCTGTGATGTGATGATAAACTAACCCTGGGCCAGACACAAACCACTGTTACCTGCAGCGCCGCAGAATAACAAGCAGTTTTCAGCAGGGCCAACACTACGACCCATCGAGTGTGAAATACACTCGGACTCGGACTGTGATTCGGACCAGAAAACACCTCGGTTCCATATTGTGTGGCTGCAGAGCAGGAAAGCAAACGGGAGGAAGGAATGGAAATTGATTTGGAGAGGAGGAGGAAGAGGAAGAGGAAGAGGAGGCCCAGAGGACTTTCTACCTGGATAAGCATCAAATAAAAACCTTCAGCTCTGATTCTGTTTAGTTTCAGCTCCAGAAAAAACAAACAAACAAAAAAAAAGGATTTCTTTACATCAGAGGTCCCCAACCTTTTTTGTACCAAGGACCAATCGACTGGTAACAGTCGTTACTGCGGATCAGTAGTACCACGGCCGTCGTTAAAGGATGATTAAATTTCTAAAAAAAACATTGACAGATTATCTTTGAATGAATAAAGTAAACAGATATGACTGGATTCTTTTAGAATGAAGTACATTAATAAAAATGAAGTAGATTTTTTCACTGTGGACCGGTACCAAATGACCTACGGACCAGCATCAAACCCCCGGATCAGGAGTTGGGCACCCCACTCTTTATGTGACTTTCTTAAATTTAAATAAAGACACAAAATAATTCTGGTGTTGTGGGACCACAATTTGGTTCCGACAGCGCCCCCTGGAGCTACTTTGACATATTTTTTCTATCATTCAATAACATCCATCACAGGATTGACAAGAAACAGAAGAGAAAGTAGAAAAAAAAACGTCTGCGACGGCCATGTGGTCACTGAGGCCCATATATTTATCATGTGGTCCGCTCAACAAATCTGGGTCACAAGCTGGGCCACATGACCAAAAGGACCATGTAATTGTCAACAGAGACCTTCCTGTGGTTTGGTTCACATTTGTTAATTCACATGTGGACCATATTAGGTACACATACATGTATATTGGAGTATATTTAAGCAATGTGGCCTACATTCGTGGGCTGTCACTCCAAATGTAGGGTGTTTTATTTACCCTGTAACAGATACAGAAATGTTCAGCTCCTGGCTTTTTGATCAAAACTTTTTTAAACTCTTTTTTAAATTACATCTTTTTGTTGTTGCCTTGTATAAACTCATGCTGAGCAGATTTAAGGACGTAGGAGATGAGGGCAGAGGAAACGAGGCCACATCTGTTTGTGTGGTTGGGTTTCCGTGAACATATGTGGGATATATAATAGAAAGGCGGGAAAACATGGACGAAGCAGCGCGGGCGGTGGAAGGATACATTATCAAAAGGAGTGCTGCGGCCTCGGAACATGCAGTTAACGGTAGTCAGCCTCCGTCAGAGCAGAGGAAAACACAGTGGAGAGTCTGAGGGCGTGTGGAAAGAGACGGAAAATACACAAAGTTTACACATATTCACACCAGTCCCGCGTCTGTGCTTGACTTATATCCAAAACAGCAGGAGGAGCAGAGAGAGGAGGAGGAGGAGGAGGAGGTGGACGGAGCCTGTCACGTGGTGAGCGCCACCTCGTAGGGACTCCTGGTTGATCTCCGCCTGGTTGGAGGGGCCGTGCGAGGAGAAGACCGAGGAGACGGCGGAGACCGGGTGGCTGTTCCGGTTGGAGCACATGTCGTAGAGGTTTCCGGAGAACTGCATCTTTTTGGACTCCTGCCGCAGAGACTCCCAGACAGCTGCCGCCTCGTTCGGACAGCCGGCCATGGCCACGTTGGCGCAGTCGTGGAACTCGTCCCACGATCTACAGATGAGAGAAACAAAGACGTGGAGACATGTGGCGACAAACTGAACTGCAGGCGACAGGAGTTTTGTAGAGATCTTACTGATAATGTGTTGAAAAACCCATATAAAAAAATCACATTTGTAAATGTATGTTATTATTACATTAAATACTGATTCCTGAGTTTGGAAAATTTGAATTATTCAAGTAATGAAAACTGGTAGCTATGACACACGTGGCTAATGGTTTATTTTTTCAGTTGTCGCTCGAACTTGGAATCAGTTTAATTGCTGAAATGCAACATTGCAAAAAAATGTTGCGACAAAGTTAGCAAAACAATGAATTAATTAAAATTTATGGTTAAATAGCGATATGTTTTGCAAGTCAAACATTGTCGTAGAAATTTCTGAAAAGATACCGCAAAATACGTTTGCTTGACAATGTTAGCCCAGAAATAGCTAGCTGAAAAAAAAAAGTTTTCCGGCTAACGGCTAAAAATAGTTTTTATTCGCTGGAAATTTTTTTTCTAAAGTATCGATATCTAAAAATAAATTCCCAAAAAGTAGTTAGTATCATATCGAATCATATTCACACCAGTGATTCGAGACCAAATCTGTGGATTTACTGGTCGTTTTGCGGTGGCGTCATCTACTGTAAATGTCAAATAAGTGAAATGTTCTGGAAAAAAACAACCCCAAAGATGAAGTACGACAACGGAGCTCAGGGGTGGAATGGTAGAATAATCGTAGATTACACGGTGAAAAATTATCTCGTACTTCTGATCTACGTCGTACATCATTTTTTATTGGGCGAGGAGTTCGGCTGCGTTTTCTTCACGCTCCACATTTAGAGCTGACTAAGCTGCGTCTGACTGTAATTGGCTGCTAATTCTTCCTCTCATCGTAAAGTGTCTCTGAGGGAAAGTTGACAGAGTGTTAAATACAGGAGAAGAGAGGGAGGGACGGGGGAGGGACGGGGGATTCTTCAATATCTGCCTGAGATTAAAAACCCACAACATCCAATCATCAATCAATACATCATCAATACATTCACACATGGAATGTTGCAGGGTCAGGTCTTACATTTGTCGTTATTTACACAGCCTGTGGGAAAGTCTTCTAGTTTCACTGAATCTCCTGGATCTACAAACACCATCATCAACTCCCAGCGTGTGTCTGTGGAGCTTCAACCTCTGGTCTGTGGCACCGCTTGTGTCCAACAGCGGGACTGAGATCAGGACAGTCAGTCAGTCTACGACAGACAGTCTACAACTGACAGTCTACGACAGTCAGTCTACGACAGACAGTCTACGACAGTCAGTCTACGACTGACAGTCTACGACTGACAGTCTACGACAGACAGTCTACAAGACGCCGTCAAGATGAACCGTAATGAATGAAATGAGTTTTCTTGACGATTTTTTCAAATTAATAATTCCATCATTTGGATTACTCACAGATACAAACAGGTGAGAAACACTGACCTCTACCTGCTGATATTGGCATTTCTGGGCCAGCGACATCCAAATAAATTTTTTTTTTTTTTTAGGAATGTTAATTTATTTTTCCATTTATTGTGATTCATAATTAATAGAACATATATTGTATATACACACATATATGCAGCTATATATATATTATAAGCACATTAAACTGTGAGTATGAGTTGAAATGAAACAACAAGATTTGTTTGTCTTTCCAGAGTAAAAAAGTCCCTTCAAAGTAGAAACAACAAAATCTTCCAACAAACCAAGATCGGAGACAAAAACAAAGGACGTGAGGAAGATTTTCTGATTCCGACAAGATCTGATTTCATCACAGGAGCTGCCGAGGAATTACTCAGCAGAACCCATCAGACAAATACGACGAGTCGCTCTCCTGTGTCACCGTCCGACTCTCTCTCACTCTCTGAAGTCTTTTATCACATTTAAAGCTGCAGAATATTGATGTAAATCTCTGCACAAGTGTCGAAATGTACGAAGTAGAAAAATTCCTCCATCTTTAAAACTTTACCCTCGTCACAGTCTGTGTGTGTGTGTGTTTGGACCCCGTCCACAGCTTAAACACTCCAGAGGTCCAGCTGTGACAGAGCGCCTGCTGCAGGAGGACGACTGTTTACCTGCTGTTGCCGTGGGAGTGGAGTCGTGGGGAAACAACATCTGCTGTTGAACAAAATCTAATTTCCTCCTATTTTTCTAAGACGCGGAGCGACGAAGCTGGACCGCTGGGTCCATTGACGACCTCTGGGGGTCGCACTGGGCGACGGGTGGTTACATGGTGGTAAGCTGGTTACTGCTCTTGCCTTACAGCGAGAAGATCACAGGTACTTCTGTATGGAGCCTGCGGGGGGCAGAAGGGGGGGGTGACTTATTCACTCTAAACAAGGCGTGGACAAAGCTTGGACTCGTGGGCCACAGTGGGTCGTAAAAGTTGTCTGTGCGAACCAAGATAAATGACATGTAAAAGTCATGCATCACGACTAAAAGTTTTTTTATATATACGCCATCTATTGGGCAAAGGCAGGCATTGCAGGGAAGTATAATGATAATATAAATTACTTATTTTATTTGGACAAGTTTTGGCGGGCCGGAATCAAAGGACAAACGGGCTGCATCCGGCCCATGGGCCGTAGTTTCCAAAGTTTCCAACAACTGGTCCCCAGACCTCTAAAGGGTCCGCTTACCAAAGTAAGAGGGTCTGCGAAGTATTTTGCAACAACAAAATCATGAGTGACTACGAACCCCCTCCACCTCCGATCCCCCAAACTCTAGTACCATTTTCACCCGTGTCTAAAAACCAGGAGATCCTATAAGGAAACTGTTTCCTCGTTTGGGGTCCGTGGCCCCAACAAAGTCACAGGTGGTGCAGAGACAGCAGAAACACAGTGAAGACCCTGACAGACAAGCAGCTGCTGCACACACTACACACTCTCCCCAGAGCGCGTCTGCTCTGCTGCTGACACGCTGCAGAAGAAACCTGGAAACCTCCAAACTTCTCCTCACTTTTTTTTTTTACTGCAAACGAATCTATACAGCAGTACAGCCATCTGGGTGTTGACGAGGATTTAAACCTCTGTGGTGGTGGGGGGGGTGGGGGGAGGCATAGCTGAAATCTGGAGATATTTTCTTTGCACAATCTGCTTAGAAATTCCACACAGAAACAAGACAGACAAGAAAAGTCGTGCCGAGAAACGTCAGGGACAAAAGGACGGAACGTAGCATCTCCGTCCACCGGACTCGAACCACCAACCGTTACATATCTTGGTTTTTAAACTTACTTTATTTATCATTATCATTTTCTGAAAGCCTGCAGGAGAAGCCACCGCGGAGCCCAACCTCTGGGTGGTGCTACACCATCAATAAGTCCCTGTGCCAGATCCTGGAATCTATCGCAGAACTTTAAATTCCTGGCACACGTTTTCTTACTTTGGCCGACTGTTTTAGTTGCTTAAATGCCAACGTTTGTGAGGGAAATGTCAATTGTTGCAGCTGCAGTGAATCCAAAAGTTTTTAATTTAATTTTTTTAGCTATTGAACATTCTGGGCTGTAAAGTCGAACGACTATAAAATCCGTCACTGTACGAATATTATTTTCATAATATAATTTGCACTTTTTTTTTGTATATTTTATATTGTATATTTGTAAATTGCATCGTTATAAAATAATTCGCACTTTTTATTTTTTTGTATATTGTATATTGTATATTTGTAAATTGCATCGTGACTAATGATATTTCATCGAAGGCTAAATCGCTAAACAGAAAAAAAGATTTAAAAAATCAGCGGCAGCTTCTCAACACAGTCCTGATGCACGGACTGAAAAGGAGTTCAGAATTGAAAAGATTTCTCTACTTGAAACCGACTTTGACAAAGCTTTTATATATTAAACGGACACGTTTGAGCTGCAGAGGTCAAAGGTCAACAGATGACTTTCTTTGAAAAGCTCTCCTTCACCTTGTGTAGGAAAAAAAAGAAATCCCTTTCTGATTTTCCACTTTCCACAAGGTTTAATGCCATGAGCCTTGAAAGAACGCTCACTCTCTCTCTCTCTCTCTCTCCCTGTGTGTTTCGTCCCGTTTTTCAACATTTAGTTTTTGAAAAAAAAAAAAAAAAAAAAATTCAGTTCCCTCCCGGGAGTTGTTGTTTGTTCAGTCTTTGGTGTTTGTTTAAACCACAGTCTGCTCTGAGTAATGCAGTACAAGAGCGCAGGATAAACAAGGCATGGTTTCTTATTTACAGGAAATGAAGTGATATTTTTACTTATTTAATTACTTGAACAAATGACCTGCAGCGACTGGGAATGAGTTGTTCACCGCATGTGGTTCTGTAACATGAGCTTCATTCCTGATTGTCAGTATTGAAAAAAAAAACGTATTTACTTTTTGCCAATATGCTGTTATTGTCCAAACGCTTAATTTCCGATTCTGAAATCAACTGATACCGATGTAGGTCTGGTAATATTTATTTATTTATTTATTTATCTGTACAATCCCAGTGATTAAAATAGATTAATAAAATGAGCCGCAATGCTGCCATCTAGTGGCTTATACTTTCACATACAGCTGTTTTTCCCCCAAAACTATTTTTTTTAAGCACACATCATTTGGCCAAACCCAAATATTGTGTTATCGGGTTTTCATTATCGGAGGAAAAAACTGATATTGATTCTTATCGATATAATATAATTTTGCTAATATCGGGCCGATAATATAAGTCAGTATCAGGATATGGGATACATTTTTCGGCGAAAAGTTGATATCGGACATCCCTAGTCAATTCGTGACAGGTGACGGTCGCGGGCCTCATGGGGAAGTACCTCCAACAACGACCCAGTTTGAATCCCACCTGCTGCCTCCTGAAGGAAGTCTTCAGCTGGAAGTGACTTTGAAAGTGAGGCGGAAACAGAAATACATTTAGAGACAAAGGCTGCAGCGGCGCACAATGAAAGCACCGACGTCTGTGGAGGATAAAAATATAAAGGCAGCTCTGAAAGAAGAAGACGGTGAAAAGGAAACTCAGCCTCGTCTGAGGATGAGAGCAGTTCAATGCCTCGAACCTATTTCAGAAATCAGACGTCGCGTTTGTTTGACCGTCACCAAGGAAACGTGGATCTGTTTCTTCCTCAGCAGTTGATATTTCTGTGCTAATTATAATTATCTTCATTCATTGAAGACTAAAAATAAAAAAAAGGACTGTGAAGATGAGGTGTCTTTGAATCAACCTGACTGAACTGGTTAGTCAGAGGTTGACGACGGCGACGGGGTGAAGGCGGGGTTTCCTTTTTTTTTTTTTAATCTAATTGTGTCTTTATGAAGAACAAAGACTTGGTCTCAAAGATAACGAGGGGTTTAAACGTTCAACCTGTTTTTACATTTACAGTTTTACCAACTATATATTTACTTTTACTCATTTTGTATCTGCTGTGAGAACGGAGAAGGATTGACGAGGTCGGATTAGGGATGGATGGATGGATGATGGATGGATGGATGGATGGATGGATGGATGGATGGAGATCCTACGACATTCTTACATATATTGACGATGGCCATCCGACCAGACGAAATAATTTGATAGCCACAAATTAGGCGGTGACTAACAAACGTGAGACAGCGGCTACGGCGGCTACGGCGGCTTTCAGATACGTTTGAGCAGAGAGAAGGACGCGGTTCAAGAACGAGCTCAGGTCATCTGTACAGTCCTTAAACTCCAAGGCCTTGGAATCTAGAATCCAATTTTAAGGATTAAAATAAAAAAGATTTCTTTTCAAATAAATAAAGAAAAAAAAGAAAAAAACATGTATCAAACTTAAATCGTCTCCTGAGTCCTTGACACTTGGCGGCCGTGAACCCTCTCATTCCCGTCTTCCGTTCTGACCTTCGCCGCTGCAATAATCGCACAGTATTTATTTTATTGTCCCCGATGCCTCCGCATCTTCAGGCCCAAAAATATTTTCCCTTTCACCCGGCCCCCCCCCCCTCCTGTGGACCCTGTGG